TGGATTTCTAGCCTTTTATTTTCTTTTTTGCATTTAGTAAAACATCACATGTGAAGTTATTTACAAGTAGTATAGATTTAAAATCAGCATAGTGTATTGTTGTGTACTTTTAGGCATGTCGTGCATATTCTGTGACACAGATACAGATACTGTGCACACAGAAAAAGCAGCAATCAATCAAACCAAAGATAAACTGGTGTGGACTCACCTCTAAAATAAAATATTCAATAAAAAATAAGCAAAAACATTGTTCCTCATCACACTTGTTCGTTCAACTTTTATTATATATGTATGTAAATGTTGTTATAGTGGTGACAAGGCAGGAAAGGGATAGAAGTCTCCCAGAAAAATGCAATGTTTAACTAAAAACATGCAGTGAGCAATGAGATGGCGTCCGAAATCTCCCTCTTTCTTTGTGTGTGTGTGTGTGTGTGTTTATGTGTGTGACCTTTGTACAGACAGGTCAGAAAAAGCAATTCAATTAGAATGTATGACATAACACACATCTCCCATTTAAGTAAACACAAACACACACACACACACACACACACACACACACAGCAACAGCAGCGGGGGTCAGGGTCACTGAAACACTTCAAAAATGTCTTCATCTTCTCTAATGAGCAGAGCTTAGTCTAGCGATTCAAGACGTTCTCTACCAGTCTCTTCTGATATCTTTTCCTAGCTCCTTCTCTTTCATCCCTCTCTCTATCCACCTCACGTGTTTCACTTTACACACCAGTTTGCCCTACCCACAAGAGCAGAAGGTCAATCACTTTGTAAAGAGTCTGTCATCATCAATTAAAGATAAATGAGCACCACAGTAGATTAGCAGCTGCTCATGCTAACTTTGAGCCTGAATTACAAAGAGAAAAGAAGATCTTAAAGTGCCTTTTTTTACAGTATCTCTTTATTCTTTATTCTTGGATCCCCATTATAGATAGCAGCTATTTTTTTCTTGGGTCCACACACAACTAAACATGCATATAAAACAAGACATATAACTAGCGGTGCAACGACACACTCAACTCACGTAACGGTTATCTCAGAATTTCTTTAACAAAATAAGATTAAAGACAAATTTTAATTGAAACTGAATCCTTTTACTTCTCAGACAGAAATCTAGAAAATACTCTCTTTTATTTTCTTCATCAAATGATAGAATCCTTTATGATTTCTGAAGGAGGGTAAAAACTGTGTAATTGATTGATATCAAAATTCATTTTTCATCTCACCGGTTTGAATCTTCACATATTTGTATTGCGGTTTAACTGTCTCACGATATATGTTTACGTTCCTACATATAACACTTGTAAACAACACAATGAGACCACATACTTGCAGTACCTATGAGAGATAAGAGCTACAGTATGAGCGAACTGAATGCAGTGTTTCACTGTGGCTACTGTTGGCTCCCTGAGGTATGAAATAAAGTGCTGACAGGTGTATCAACTATAATAGATGACTGCACATTTTTTTGTATGTGTGTGTGTGTGTGTGTGTGTGTGTGCGTGTGATTGTGTGGGGGCATCTGACAGCATGGATGGAGGAATGAGTCTGACAGAGGAGAGAGAGGAGCCAAGTAAATTTTAACTGGAAACAAGCGCACACACACCATCTCTTTGCTGTCTGTCTTCTGTCATATATACTGCATTAGTTTGGTATTTTGGGAGCCTCCCTACAAGGTTGCCCTAGCTGACTGTTTTGCTAGAGAATCAATTGTCTTTTCAAGCCTAAGGTGTTGAACTGTCAGTGTTTCGAAAAAGATCACTGAAAAAGAATTTCTCCAATAGGGGATTAATAAAGTCTTTTCCCTATATGAGTGGGATCAGCAAACGTAGATGTATTTGTTAGTATATGGCATTTATATGACATCCTTTTAGTGACAAGGAACAAAGAGCATCCCAGAGAAAACAAAAATAATAATTATATAATCTAAACAATTGAGTAAGAAACAGTAAAACCTTGCAGAAAGAAAATATGATAATATAATAAAAGCTTTTGCACAACCCAAACCATTCTAGCAGACCTTTAGAATGCGTCGTATAAAATCCAAAATCTGCCTTTAACCCACTGAAACTCTCTCTCTTTCTCTCCCATGCTGTCTTACGTAAGAGTTTCTATTTATATATGTTGCCTAATTGGATAGACTGAATAATATTGGAGCCTTTTCCTTCCTCTTTTCCAGCCTGTGGGACAGATATCAGGGCCCTCTCATTCTGTCTGGAATTTGTGAAAAAAAAGGCCCTTTAAAAGATTCATAAGCTGCTAATGAGGTTATGCAGCACATTTCAAAGCAAAAAATAGTGTGACGATATGTGCGTGTGTGTTTGTGTGTCTGCGGCAGGAGGGGTTGGGTTTTATACAGTGAAAACCTAATCCATATGAGCAGACATTTTTCAGCCGCAACAAATTGCAGACGAGTCACAGTGGCTGGATGGATGAAACAAAAAATGAAAAATAGCCCTTTCAGCTATCTATTCTCTTCAGCTCGCATTTTAAAGGTCCAGTGTGTAACATTTAGGAGGATCTATTGGCAGAAATGCAATAAATTATTCATAGGTACGTTTTCATAAGTGTATAATCACCTGACTATAGGAATCGTTATGTTTTTGTTACCTTGGAATGTGCCTATTCTATCTACAGCCTCTGCGGGTTGCCTTCCATGGATTCTGCCATGTTTCTGCATTAGCCCAGAAGGGACAAACCAAACACTGCCTCTAGATAGGGTTTTGAAAAATTTAAATAAACTGTGGTTAAACTTTGGGATCCATTGTTGCATAAAATGGCAATGGAGCAATTTTATACCCCATGTTTCACACTGGAATACTATTAGGAAGGGCTCTTGTCACTGCCACTTTGGACAAAAATAATTACTGCAGGGACCAAAAAATGTTTTATTGTTCGCATGAGAACCTATCCTTTTATAAAGGAAGTTCAGAGTATTTAGTTCAGACTACTGAAAGCCTTTCTGTAATTACCCTGTTTCGAGATCCACCCAGCACATCCACTAGGGTTGTGTTCCATTTTTGGTCTTCCCAACATTTATGTGGTAGCTTCTTATTTTAGCTTTTTTTCGTTTAAAATAACAAACATCATCAAAAGCAAAGTACCATTATATATAAACGGTTGCTTATTAACATTAAAAAATAAGAAGCAAGCAGCTTGTGATAAAAGGGTATAAAAGTGAATACATTTAAGCAGTATTTCATATCCTATGTTCCTCATCTCATTTGATGTTGTAAATAGTCATCAGGCTGCCACTCAAAACTGTTTCTGCCTTCTTGCCCAACATATATTTGGTAGGGATTCAAAAGGATTTAGATTCTATAAGTGGGATCGATACTGGATACCCAACCCTACCCTTCACCATGGTGCCACCCAGCTACACATCTTTGTTAGTACACAAACCACGGATCTGCATGGCTAATATTTCACCATGCTAGTGTTAGCAATTTGAGTAGCTTTCAGCTTTGAGCACGCATTTAAGCTTTGTCACATGAAAATTCTGTCCGCTTTTTAGATGTCTTTTACACATTAACATAATAAGATTGGGGTATAAAATCACCAGCGAGAGTGCAGCAGCTGTTACAGTTGGATACAAACAACATCTTGAGAGGTGTGATCAGAGATGAGGAAGGAGAGGACGTGAGCAGGTGGAAGAAAGCGATGAGAAGACGTGATAAAAAAAAACATCATGCATGGCAACATTAAAAGGGTGATGAAACCTGCAGCTTCATTCCCCTTCTGCACACTTCCCGAGTTGAAAAAAAAAATCCAATCAAATGGGCATGGGGAGCAGCAGTGAAAAGGGAGGGGCAGTTTGGGAGATGGGGAGACACCACCTGCAAACATGCTCATTAACTACAGCAGAGCTGCCAGGACAAAATAAAATTTAAAGACTGGAAAACAGCCAAATAGGCTTCGAAACCATCAAATCCTATCTGTCAGATAACTATCACATTCTCCTTGTTTCTGCTTCCCAGCAGCTTGTCTTTATGCTTTCTGTCTCCTGCTTCCTCCTGCTAAGTTTGACTGCAACCGGTTTGAGTTTTTTAATTGTGTAGAGCTGCACTAAAGTAAGATATTCAAACAGTTTTAACACAAGCAGTTATTCACAGTTCATTCACATTCAAGTTAACGTGTATTTTACATTTCATACCACATCTTTGTAGAGTTCATGTTTTAGTGGTTTTGACATTTTTAAGGGAACAATAAATAGTTTTTGCTGTGTGTGAAATTGCCTATATAATGTTTTCTAGAATTCTGTTGTGAATATATGTGGATATATATTTTTTACTGTTGGAACAATGGAAAATGTTTGCCTTTATAGTGCCACTTCAGTTACCCAGTGTTAAATAATTGGTGAACACAGCAATGACATATTAATAATTATGTCTTTTTTCTTTTCATCCTAAAATGACAGCTCAAGAGTTGTTACAGAGGATAGAAGAAAGGATGATTGTCTGAGCAACAAAACAAATCACAGAGTAAATACATAGATGCATCATATTTGAACACAATTACATTTTATACTGAATACTACAGTACTATCCCTGAGCCACATAGTTAAGTTTCTTACTTGTGTGAACATGTAGCAACTATATTCCATTACATTTTTAACTTTTCAGCCCAAAAATAACTCAAATTAACCACCAAAGCAACTGCTGTAAGACCAAAAACAGCTCGATGGTGCAACTAGGTCACTAAGTAAGTCAAAAATCTTTCTAGTGTGTGTTTAAGTTGTAGTTCCTGTTGGAATATAGTAAGAAATATCCAAAACAAAGCATGCTGAGATAGAGTCAGATCTAAGAAAAACACACAGAGAAAAGACATTTTCATTAGAGCTTTCTGCTAATCCTTATGTCTTCCGTGTAATGTGATTTCCACCGGAGTCAATTGCCCCTCCGGCTCACAGACAAAATAGGCTGCTCACATTAGACCCTCCTTTTCCCTCTTCCTCTCCCTCTTTTACTTTCAAACACAATCGTTTCTCTTACCTCGGTCATGTGAATCAAGTAGAACCTCAGTTCTTCTGCGTAATCTGGAAGACAAAGAGACAAAAGATTAATTTTATTTCTTTCTTGGTGTCATCTTTTTTACTACCACGCAACCATTTTTCCCTTTGTTTCATTTTTACTCACTGGCTTCCTTCTTTCTTGTACATTAAGCAAAAAAAATAAAAAATTACTTTTATTGATGAAGGGCTTTTACTTTCAGTCAGCCTCATAGACATCTACCCATAATTCACTTAAAGTAGTGCTTTGTGAGACAAGCCTGTGGGCCTGGAGTCAGGATAAATAGTTTTAATTGAGTGACCCCACCCCAAACACACACACACACACAAACATACACCCACACAATCCACATATGTTGTGGTAATGTTTACTATTTTATTTCAAGTTAGAACCACACACAAGCTGACTGTCAGTCCTGTCTGATGTCACACTGAGGAGTGCCTCAGCCATGGCGTGAGAGTTAAAATTATTAAATATGTTCTTGAAAGACAGAAATCATGTCTGTTGGGGTTGTCTGACCAATCCCAACTGGCTATAGTGCTACAGTCGGGTTAAGCTGCCTGCATGCTTCATCAGACGTGCTCGCCTGATGGTCAGACAGGCTCAGAAACCCCCATCCCCTCCAGGGTTTGAACTTCTGTCTCTACTTCTCTTTTTTTCATTCCTCACATAAATTTGTGTCACTTTTCATGTGAACTACCGATTGCAAAAATGTGAATGCCTTCAAGGAGACACAGTCTGAAAACTTGTGCTGCTCCCTCCATATTTAAACAGTTTTGCATCTCCCACTCCTCTATGACCTCAGCTGTTTGGAACATTTTTAATTTCTGATTTCTGGTTAGACTACACATCGTACAAACAATTTCTATCAAAAATAACCCAACCCTCATGTTAAAAAAAACACAAATGCGTTTGAATAAATAAATTCCAAGCAGAGTGATTTATATATCTTAATATGTCTTTATGTCTAGAGGGGATCTTTAACTCATGACCCTCATCCTTCCTTCAATTACCAAATCCACTCTCCAGGATCAGTCTCACAGCAGAGTCAGCACCTTCTTGTCCAGCATATTGAGCCTGTAAGCTTCACTAGCCTTGTCTCTGTATGAATCCAACCTCTTCCTCCTCACACTGAATATTGACAGCAGCCTCCCACTACTAACTGGTCCCTGTTGCTGTATTTTATGAACATCTCCATTAGGTCTGTAAACTAAGGCAGTCCACAGTGTTCAACAGAGACCTACGTCACCTTACAGGAGGAGTGGTCAGTGTGTGATGCAGGAATAGGGAGCGCTGTATTCTACCAAAAGATACCTTCTTCTAACAAACAGCAGAGGTCACTGTTGGATATCTTTCAAAAACCTGTACGGCATAGTACGACTGTATGAGGGTCTTGTTGATGAAGTCAGGTGTAAACCTGGTAACTCATTTATTTTACAATGTGCACATTTTTAGTTTAAATTAAAGACTGGCTCTACTTTTTATAGGTTGAGAAAATGATCTAGCCCTTTTCCACGATTTTAAAATATTTGATATATGGTTTGAAAAGCTGTAGTCTCAAATGTACAGTAAGTGGTTTCACCTGATAGTAGTGACATACTGGTGTGTCAAATATATAGTAAATTCAGTCATTGGATGTAAACTAAAATTCACTTCCTGTCCCCTGAACGACAATACCAAAAAAGTAAGAAAAAGCATATTTTGCTTTTTGCACTTTAGTTAATTGACTGGTCTCTCCTTAATTTAATATTTTGCATCACAGTTTTAAGTGAAGTCATTCTCCTGTAGCAATGGAGTAAGAGTTGTCTTAGTCCTCTTGCTTTGTTTAGTATAGTGATAATGTTTGGATTGACACATGGTCATTTTGGCTATATGTGTGTTTAATACCCCTCTCAATGTTTCCCACGCTCCTCAGCCTAGTATCGGGGTGACAGCAACACAGGAAAGCCCCTGTATTGAACTTGTACTGTGTCATCACACACACACACACGTCAAACACACCCTTGCTGAAACAAACACAATCCCCCGGCGCCTCTTTCCTGAGTGACGCTGCCGAAGCGAAATAACAATGAGGGTGGGTGGAGATCTGTGCATGGTGTGTGTCCTCTCATGAAACACACACAGACACACAGACACACAAACCCTACTGAGTCCCCTCCCTGTTGATGTCCAATTGTTTGGGTGAAGGGTGGAGGTCAGAAGTGGCCTAGAGGAGACCAGTGATGTCTGTGGGGAGGGCAGAGCAGCTGAGGCCATCCTGTATCACGGTGCTGTGTTTTCAATGAAGAACACAGGTCTCAACACAGGTCTTCACTGTGTCAACCTTAGCTGCAAAGTGAATGTTTTGTTTTTTACATTCCTGTTGTATATCTGCAATTAATAACCCTGTTCAGTATTTGACATTTCTGTTGATTCCAATTAGGCAAAATGGTACCAGTCTGACTCAGCAGATACTATATGCTTACAAGTTCTATACTAATAATGGATTACTTTGACAAAATTGTAAATGTCAGTATAGACTAAGCCAGGTGGAAAATGTTCCATATAATTTAGTATTGGAAATTGGAAAAGTATTTATTAACAACCTTTTGTCCACAACAAAGACCAAGAAATATAATTATTGCACTTATGTGCAGAATGATGATGTCCTGGCACATTTATCTGCTGCAATGGTATGAACAGCGTATGTGTGGCTATGTGAGGCTATACTGACACCTATAGGGGGTTTTATCCATTGAGGGTCAGGCTAAATCACTTAAGGCACAATTCATTTGTACTGAGTACATACCTTAACTTCCAATCAGTAATCTCAGAGCCACAGTTGTCTCCCCCTACGCTCAACTATGAAAACTGCGCTGACAATAAAGTCATTACTCTGGAAACAGGCAATCTCTTTAAACAACATCCTTTTTCACACCTGTTATCCTAAATCAATCCCATAATCCCGACACCACCCTGGTGTTAAATCCAAATTATATCCACTCAGCTTTTGACACTCATGCACCACACATTCTGGATATTTATGGCACTTGTTAACTGGTTTATATCCTGCACAGCATAATAATCAACTGACCTGACATCCAATAAGACAGTTAGATGAGAGAGTTGGTTATTACTGTTTCTTACCAATGCACTTATCAATTGTCAGCATTATGTGTTTGAGTGTGCCCCCTCTCCCTTTGCCCTGTCCCAAGCATGACTCCAAATGTTGCCCCTGTCTCCGCCCACTACTCCAAACACAGATATTTACAGTGAGCCCTATTTATTTGACTTGCCTGGGCTCAGTGCAGCACTGCAGGCCAGACTATTCTTTCCATACTGCTTGAGGAGATGGTTGTTTAGACCGAGGTGAAATAAAAAGACAAAGCAACAGGAACTTGGGCAGCCTTCCCCTAAATATCCTGTGGTTAAGCTCAACTGCAAATACCTCTGTAATCATAGTACTGTGTGTTTATTTCTGGTTGTGCAATGTGTGTGTTTAATTGTTGAATGTCCTTTTTTATTCTGTGTTAAACTGTAAAAGGTCAAACGTGGTTTGACATGGTAACATACAGATAGGAACAGTTTTAGCCTATGTATTGTTCTTTTTGGACTTTTAGATGTATCTCTGTTGTGCTGAATGACAAACCCACTGCACATATTGATGATTAAGATTCAAGCTCAACATCTCTGAATTCTCAGAATTATGGTTCCTTAGATGGTGACTAAGAATTCTTAATTTACTATGTGACCTTTTGATTACAGAACAAAAGCAAATGATGAATCTTACACTTGTTTGGTTTGGTGACAGCTGTGTTAGCACTTACCATCCTGTAACCTCAGCTGTCTTAGGTACAGGGGACTCTGAAGGACGTTACACCTGCCCGGCTCATCTTCTCTAGTCACCAGCATCAGGTCACTGTAGACAAACACTGTCACCTACAAGATGGGAGGGGCAGAGATGGCAAAGGAGAGTTTAAAAAAAAACAGTGGAACAGGAAGTTGTTTCTTTTTTTAAAAAAAGCATGTAGAGGAGGGGGTGAGGTTTAAAGAAAAAAAGAAAATTTGATTTCATACTTCAGCGTCACATGCTCTCACCAGGGCTTTACACCTTGAAGCGATCAAATCTCATAAACACATATCTGCAGTCCTGTGAGATACATAAACATCACCTAACACTCAAGAAGTCTCACCCCTATCCTTCCCCCCACATCATGTCTTAACAGTTCACACTTAGATAATAACTGCCAAGCATATACATCTAGCCATATATTTTTTAGCCTGATGAATGTTAACCCTGCTCTTTCACGTATACCGATTTATTCATAAACTTCTATTTTGTATTCTTTCACCCACTGGTAAAAAGAAATACAATCAAATAATGCACTTTATACCTGCCTGAACATAAATTAATATATTTAAATTAAATTTTTTTTTCCTTTGTTTTAGTTGCTTAGACTATTCAGTCTATTATACTGTAATTCCTTGGGACAAAGCTGCTTTTCACTCAATTATAGCACCTCAATAAGGTCCGACAATAGTTTTAGGCTTACAGTTTATTATGTTACATTAACTGGCTGTTATATAATACCTTAACTTGAATTGCTGTCCGTGTGTTCAGAAGAGGCAGTACTGCAGGTTAAACCTTTTACATAAACAAAGTCATCATACACACACTTGAGATTGTGACTTTGGAGATTTGACCAAGAGTTTTGCAAGATAGCATGACAGCCCATAAATGTCGTTTTGCTTCTGCAGAGCAAGTGAGCAAACTCATGCCTGTGAAGCATTAAAAATAAAAATGAATGAAGAAAGGAAGAATGTAGAGAAAGAAGTAGATGATTTGGACAAGGAAAAAGAGCTTCGATGTGTGCATGAAAGTTGCTTATGCAAGTTTTTGCTTTCATGCAACATAACACACATACAGTGTAATTCATGTAGATGGGCACTGTTTCAAGACAATGCTTTCACTTTGGTGGCTTCCTCTGAAGGGTGAGATAGCAGAGAGGGTATTTTAGCCAGTATGTGGTTAGAGAGAGAGTGTGTGTGTGTATGTGTGCGTGTGCGTGTGCGTGTGTGTGTGTGTGTGTGTGTGCAATAGGTTTTGAGTGGGTGGAAGAGGATGTAAGTTAAAGTAAAGAACAAGGACAAAGCACACGAGAGGCAAGCAGATAGTTTTACATGCATACACACACAAATACACACTGTTCAAATGTGCACAGAAGGTTCCTTAAGGACTTTTAATTCACACACACACTTCCTCTCAATGATTCTCTTTCTTTAAGGAATTCAACAGCAATTTTATTTCTATCCTAAAATAAGTCATACAAGCAACAATTTGTCTAATTGAGACTAATAAATGCTAAATAATGTCTCCGTAACCTTCCAGTCATCTAATCTGTATCCTACTGTACCCAATAGTGTTTTATTCTTTACTATAACAAAAGCTTTCTTTAATTACTTTAATTAATGACTGATACTGTATTTTTTTTTTTTTTACATATAGCAGATAGCAGCTAGCAGGCTCATAAAAGCACCCATGCATGCTATATGACTGTTGTATGAAGTATGATTAGCAGGCTTTATGAGTTTTAAACTAATTTAATTACTCGTATAATTACTCAATGTTTAGAAAAAAATATAAACTTGTTATGCTAAATGTTATCAATAGCTATCTTTCACGTTTTGTCTTCTTTATTATGTATTCATATGTCACTTTAGACTAAATCAGATTTCTTATGTTTATTATTTGTGTTCAGATATTAGAATGAAAGTGTTACATGTTCGTGTCAATGATTGAGTTTGTGGGTTTGCCTCCCGGGCAGACTAACAACTCTGGTGAGTTAAAAGCTGGAACAACACTGATCATTAAAACAGCCTGTATGAAGTGACCCAGTGGAGAGAAACTCCCTCCTGACAAACACTGACTCTTAAATATTTGTTTTATGGCTGACCCCAGGGAGAGGTCAGAATTACCTTCCGTGCCAGCAGTCACTGCACTCCACTGCACCGCACAGCAAAGATTATCTGACAGTGCAAATTAAAGAACTGCGCTGAGAGCTTAATTCAATACAACAATACTCTTAATACTCCTTATTTTCTCTTTCCAAATACACTTTTTTTTACATTTTTCTTCTGAAGAACATCATACATGTTTTGCCATAACCTCAATTGTCAGAAACACTTCCACTTTGTCATTCACTTCATTCTACAGTTATAAGTTTTTGCAGAACGTTGCATCTGTTGCTGGCTGCGTTCCTTTTAGGGAAAATGCACCTGGGCATTTATCAATGTAATGCAAATATTTGTAAAGGGAATATTAGTAGATTAATGTGGCTAACAATGGCTAACTTTTTGTAAGGGAACTTGGCTAACAGACATTCAACATACCAACCATTCATTTAAGTTATTACGGGTAAAATTATATTATCAGACCTGGTTCTAGTGTACATAATAGTTTGAAACCCTTCAAGCACATGGCTATTTCTTTTAATGTCTTGACAGTGTACAGCGTATGTTTGACACCTACAAGATTAAAGTACTTGTTACAGAATAAAAAATTATATTTTAAATTTCAGAAGCTTTTGAAAGAATGAGTACTTCTAGTTTT